CTGGAGCCCCTTGGCGATGTGAGTCCCTCCCAGAGGGCGACCGTCTTGGCCCGAGGGAGCCAGGAGGGTTTGGAGGGCGGGAGCGCCTGAGGCACCCCCTCCCATAGGGTGAGTCCCCTGTCCCAGCAGCTGCGGGAGCCAGAGGGGGCCGAGGCTGAGTCTGCGTGCTCCGCTCACTCGCCCGGGTTTATCCGAATCACTGAGGGCCTTGGATGACCCTCCAGGGGTGGCCCCCAAGTGGAAGAAGCACACGAACCAATGAACAAGTCGGGGTTCTGGAGGAGCTGTCTCTGCAGCCCGGGGCTCGAGCGGAGGGAGGTGTATGACGCGGCACCTCGGAAAGCATGGGTCTCGTGTCTCGTCTGTGACCCGGCTCTGTGGCCCCGACTCTGTCAGCAGCCAGGTCCCTATGACGGCCCGCAGTGACCCTGCCTCTAGGGTTTACGGGGAGCCTCCGCGTTCGCTGCCCGCTCTGCTCCTTTTGCACACGTGGTGCCGCGTGAGAGCATCTTTTGGTGTCTGTTGCGGCTCAGGAGGCCCCATTTGTACGAACCTCGGCGGTGGGTGGGAGGGACCGTCCTCTCTGGGCTCCGCGGTGAATGGAGTTTTGACCTTCCTCTTACGCTTTATACCTTCTTAATGACATTACTTATTTTGGACTTTCTCATGTAAGTCCTGCATCCAGAAGATCAAAGCATCTGCCTTTTCAAAGTCAGAGGGATCCCCACCCCATTCCCATTCCCGGACCTCGTCCCGCCCGAGGGCCCGGGGATTTGAATTCAGGGGGGTCCTTTCTCTCTTGGCTCTGAGCCTCCAAGGTGCAGAGGCACGGGGCCCCAGGACGTGGATGGCCACGGGCACGGATCTCCGGCAGGTCTGCCCTGTGCTCACCCCAGAGCTGGACAGGGGCCCTGAGTGTGTGTGGCCTTAGCGGGCTCCCAGGCTGGGAGGAGGAGTGGGCTGAGTAGCTCGCGACCCTGACCTGGGGCAGGACAAATCACCCGGACGCCGTTCACGGAGCATCCCATTCCAGCATCGACTCTGGGGGATCAGGAAGGCTTCATGGAAGAGGTGGCATGGAAGCTGAGCCTTGATGGTCACAGAGCATTTCAGAGTCACGCGAGGGGCCCCAGGGCTCCTGGCCAACGGAAGAGCGTGCATGAGGGGGCGTGGTGCGGCTCCCACGGGCCTGCGGACATGGTGCCTGGGATGTGGCCTTCTGCAAGGGGCCAGGAGACAGAGCGTCAGGCTGGGGAGCTTGGGCCTGGCCGCCAGGTCCTCGGGAGCCCCTGCAAACGGCAGTTATGATTGCGTGTTAGGAAGGTCACTTTCTTAGGTCCAGCCTTTTGGAGGGGGCAAGGTATCCAATGACGGGCCCTGAGCAGGGCAGAGGCAAGCCTGCTGGGGAGGTAGAAAGCAGAGGGAGCTAATTCAGAGCCCCGAGCCCCACTGGAGGCTCCCCAGTGCGGCCTCCTGGAGGTCCTGAGGCTGAGGACTCCCCTGTCCCCCCGTCGTGGAAGCTGGAGCTCAGGGCTGCGGGGACCCCACTGCCCATCTCCTGCAGGGCAAGCAGCATGCTGGGCCCCGTGCCTCTGTCTGCAAGCTTCTTGCCCCACTAAGAGAGTGCGGCTCTGAACCCCAAGGGTCCCTGTCCTCAGGCCGTGGTCACAGGGCTGAGATGCTTCTGGGCACACCTGGAGTCTTTCTCCCCTCACGTGTCACTGCCTATCCTTTCTGGGGGGGGGGAGGTGAGGGAGGCAGAGTCACCTGACCAAACCTCAGTGGCCCGGGGTTGGGCTTGGAACCCTCAGAGCTCTTTCTCCAGGCCCCAGGGGCTGCCGGCTCTCCTCTCCCTGCTGCCGCCCCCCCCACCTGCTCAGTCCCTGGGAGTCCCCCTCCCCCCCCCGCCCCCCCCTCGCCGAGCAGCAGGCGGCATCTGCCCGACATCCCTCACCTGCAGGCTCGGCACCTGCTGCCCCCTGGGACCTGGGCGGCAACACAGTACCAGGAGAGGACCCAGGTTTCCTGAGCCCCTGCCCTTGAGAGGGTCCTGCTTCCTCCTGGGACCCCCAGAAGACCCTGGGCCCCGTTACTCTCTCCTTCCTGGGAGGGGACGTGGGATCCCTCGTTCCTCCAGCCCCTGCTCTTCTCTGGGGTGCTGAGCCCCGCCCCCCCGGCTGACAAGGCCCCGGCCTCAGGCAGCAGCGTGTCCCCTCGTTCTTCTCTCCCTGGAGCACGTTGTTTGATGACAAGACGGGAGGTGCCATGTGGGGGAGAGCAGCCTGGGGGAGAATGGCCCAGACTCCCAGTGGACGGGGCACCCCAGGAGGCTGGAGCTCGCTCACAGGGCTGCATCAGGGTCACTAAGCTGGGGGCACGTGCCAGCCCAGTGGTCTGACCACAGGCCAGGACGGGGCAGGGCCAGGGGGCGGCCGCGGCCCAGCCTGGCTCCTCCTTCGTGCCGGGAGTGCTTTGTGGAGGGGGCACAACAGGGAAGCGGTTGCTAACAGCCCAGGGGCGGCTTCGAGCAAGGACAGGGTGCCAGGCCCACCCCAGGGATCCGGGGCTACGGGGAGGCGAGGGATTCCGGGAAACTGAATTCACCCGTGGGTCAGCTGCCAGGGACCCCTCCTCGGTGTTCATGACGGCGAGCACCAAGCTTTGTAGGGAACAGTTTTCCCTGTGGTTGGATCCACGGCCTTGCTGTTGGTCCCATTTCGCAGGTGAGGAGCCTGAGGCTCCATTCTGAGCCATGCCTTGCCCCATGGAGGTTTGGGGTGCCACGGGCACCACCGATGGTCTCTGGCCCGCACAGACAGGCTGTGGCTGGATGACCCCTAGGCATTGGCAGCTTGTGCCATGGGGCTGACCCTGGCTGGGCCGGGAGCTTCCGTGTAGCTGACCCTCCCCTGGCTACCCCCAGGCCTTGGCAAGTGTCCACCACCAGTGCCTGCCAGTAGGTGAGGTGTGCTCGGTGCCCGCCGCAAGGAGAGGTAGGGGTGACCGGGAGGTGTGAGGCTGGCCGCAAGGGTGGCAGGCTGCTTTAGAGGACGCTGAAAACGACCGGCCCTGCCTCAATGCCCAGACCCCTTCCCCAGACCAGGAGGCCCCTCTGGGAGGGGGTGACTCCAGAGGGCACTGTGGGGTCCGTGATCACTGGGATCCTGATCGATGGGCCCTGACGGCACCCGGCCCACCATACATGTTTCCCCACATTTCGGGCTGGGCCCCCAGCTCTGGGTTGGTGTCCCCTGAGGGCTCGGGGCTCCAAGACCCCACAGGAAGGGTGGCTTTCTAATATCAGGGAAGGCTTCTTGGAGGAGGTGACTCCTGGGCTCAGACGTGGAGGATACACAGGAATTCACTGAGCTAAGAAGGTGGGAGAGACAGAAGAGGCGCCAGGAGGGCATGCGCTGGTGGCGCCCTGGGGCGTGGGGCATGCGTGCTTGCACACGCATGTGACGGGAAGCCAAAGGGAAGGGCTGGGCAGTGGAGAATCCCGGGAGGGGCCTCGTGTGTCCCACTGAGGAGCTCAGAGTGTGACCCCAAAGCCACGGAGAGCTTTTGAGAGGGGTTTTGAGCCGGGGAGCACGGTGATCAGATTCGTGTGTTCAGAAGATCGCCCTGGCGGCCTTGTGGAGGACGGATTGGAGGTCCAGAGCTAGAGGCTGGGGGATCAGGCAGGATTTCTTGGGATTTTCTCTGTAGCGTTACAAATCTGACGAGGCTGGCTGGGGCGGCCCTGGCGCGCACCAGCTTAATGAGAAAGTAAGAGCTCAAGACAGGGCGAATGGCTTCCCGGCTCAGAGTTTAAATCCGGCTCCAGCTGCGGACAGAGGGCCTACCCCCGCGATCCCAGACCCAGCCCTCTCCGGGTCCTCGGGAGAGTTGAGCTGGAAAGGGCCGTGCTGGCCAGCGGGCTGCTCTGGATCTCTGCCTTGGGAATGCCAGGCCACAGGGGCCCAAACATTGTCTTTCTGCTCACACCAGGCCGGCTGTGCCCTTCACAGAGCAGCCATTGAGGGGCTGTGGGCCTGGCGGAGGTCCCGGGCCACGTTAGTCATGCTCCTGGGAGCTTTTCTTCCCAGGACAAGACTGTCCTTGTGCCGAGGGCCACCCTCACACCACGGCTTGGCTCCTGGCAGCTGCAGAGCCCCTGCCAGCCCCTAGCAGCCCACTTCAGAGGCACCGCCACCCGGAGACAAAGCCCAGCGTGAGAGCCGGGGGCAGCCCTGGGAGGCCGCGCTGAGCGCCTCCTGCTTTCCCGCTAGGGGCCCCAGTCTCCATGAGCAGGTGCGCGACCCCTCATCCTTTCCCGGGCTAGAGCCCACCAGGCTCTGCGAAGCAGTTCCCAGGACACAACTTCCAGGACCAACGCGCCCTGGGGAGGGCGTTGGCAGACTTTGTGCATGCATGGAGCGCCTGCTGCATACGCATGCCCTGGGCTGGGTACACTTGTGCACGCTGGCGTCCATTGCTGGCTGGGCCAGTTCCTAATTTACAGTTCAGGCCCTGAAACAGACCGTTTCAAGCCTTGGTTCCTCTGTTTGCTGACGGAACGACGTGGGAAAGTTCTTTTGCCTCCTTTTGCCTCATCTGTGAAATGGGGCTGTTCCACCATCTCCCTCTGGGCTGCCTTGAGGGTTGAACGAGATGCTAGGTCAGTGTTCGGCTCCGGGCATGGCCTGAGAGGATTCTCTGCGGAGCCACCTCTGTCCCTGGATGTCCAGGGCTGCTCAGGGGGAGGGGGCGTCATCCCCATTTTACAGATGGGGAAGCTGAGGCCTGAGGGGCTACCCAGGGACACACAGCCAGCTGGTCACGGAGCTGGGACTTGAGTCCTGCTCTCTGGGGCTCCTGCAGCACAGGCGTCCCCTTTGGGAAACAGAGGCCAGAGCAGGGGGCTCCTGACCCCGGCGCGGCGGCACCATGCCCCTCCCCTTGCATCTAAGCGTGCTCTCTCTGCTCTTCCAGATCCCCAGACAGGCGTGGGCATTGGCGGAGCCCAGCGATGGCAGAGTTGGTGACCCTGGGGCAGGAGCCACAGCCGCGGGGCCCCGCGGCCGGAGACGCGTGATGGTGTTCTTGGGGCACCTGCCGGAGACAGGCCAGGTGGACCGGGAGCCCCGAGGAGCAGAGGCCGGCCCCAGCATGCAGAGATGAGGCCTCTGGGGGCCCTGGCCTCCCTCCCGCCCGGGCGCTAGGAGCTGTGCCCAGGCCCCAGCCGGGAGCCCCGCCGCCCGGGGGTATGGCCAGACCCTTCTTCCGACCGCAGACGCTGCTGCGGCGCACGCAGGTCCTGCTGTTCCTCCTCACGGCCGCCTACCTGATGACCGGCAGCCTGCTGCTGCTGCAGCGTGCCCGCGTGGCCCTCCCGCCGGGGCCCCGAGCGCCCGGCCCCCTGCAGGCCTTGCCTGTGGCTGCCGTGGCACTGGGCGTGGGCCTACTGGACAGCAGGGCGCTGCAGGCCCCCCGCGTCAGCCCGGAGCTGCTGCTCGGCGTGGACGTGCTGCGGAGGCCCCCGGCCCGGCCCCGGCCCGGCCCCCGAGGGCTCCGGAGCCGGAACTTGGAGCTGCGGCAGCTGAGACGCCGCTGGTTCCAGCACTTCATGGGGGACCCCCAGGGGCCGCCCGCTCCGGGCCCCGAGGCCCCCAGGCCCATGGCCAGCAGCCGAGGTAGGTGCCTAGCTCTGGACCCCTTGGCGTGTTGGGGGGCCGCTCCCAGGAGCCCTGCCTGGGGCCAGGGGTGGCTTTCCCCTTCTCAGGCCCCACCTGCGGCCTCCAGACCACTGAGTTCTGCCCACTCACTGGCTGGGCAGGTCCCAGAACCCGGCCTCTGGGTTCAGGTGGACATCCGCTTGCGTCCTGATTTAGCAGCGACCTTGGACCCCTGACCTAATGTCCCCAGGTCCCTGGGGCGTAGAGACAGACATACCTAGCCCAGGGCTCGCGTGGGGATGGCATGGGACAGCAGGGAGGGCCCAGGGCAGTAGCCGGTCCCACGTACAGGTCCTCAGCCTCCCCCGATCACGGGCTGGGGGCCGTGTCTGCACAGCACTGTCTGTGGGTAATTCTGGGGCTCGCGCAGGCGGAGACCCCTGGGCCCGGGGGCCTGGTGTGCTTCCCGGCACCAGTCCCTGGTGGCTGTTCTTTTATTGTTAAACAGCTAATCATACGGCATTTGTGCTGCACTTGTAAATGACACGTTGATGGAAATACCCTGATGGTGACGTCCTCATCCTGCGGGGAAACATGGGAATGTGGGGATGCTCTGTCAGTTGCCAGGGTCACTCTCCTGGATTCGGTTCCCCAGAAGCTGTGCTCTGTTTGGGGTGTGACCCCAGGACACTGGCAAGGAGCAAGGAGGGAGCTGGGGAAGAGCAAGTGGCAGGGGAGGGACCGGGAGACATCTTGGAGTATAGCCTGGAGGTGGCGGGTCAGGAGGAGGGCCAGGCCTGGGAGCCTGGCTTCACTGCCAAGATAGTGAGACGATCCAGGGAAGAGGGAGGAGCCCCTGAGGCCCTCACGTTGGGGGAGATGACTGACGGTCAGTGAAGCCCAGAGGACAGTGTCCTTCTGTCTCCACAGAAGGAGGTTTCTCCTGAGGTCACGTAGATCAGAGCCCTTGCTGTGGGGTTCCTCAGCAAGCTCCCACCTAAGAATGAGGGGGACAAGAGGAATGGATTCTGCAGCTCACTGCACAGGCTGCCTTCTGTAAACTTGCCCCAGCTCTCCAGGAAGCTGGGTCTCTATGCAGACTATACCAGCGTGACGCGTTCAGACTAAAGTGTGAATGACTGACAAAGTCAACACAGAATGCTTGAGCAGCAGCCAGGGAAAGAGCACAGGTTTTGAAAACAGACCTTGGTATTGCCAGTCGCTGGCTCTGTGGCCTTGGGCAGATTGGCCAAAGGTCAATTCTTTATTTCTCCCTGTGCACCCTCCTCGGGGGTCCATGCACCAGTCTACCCTTCTCTATGCACTTGAAGAGCTCAGTCTGGGGGTGGACGATTGCCACACAGCAGCACCGAGGCCCAGATGAAGGTCTTTATGACCCGGCCAATGGGAGGAGAAGTATGGAGTGACCCAGTCTGAACGCCGGGGGCACCCCTTGTCTCCACGTCATCTCCCCCTGGCGAAGTGGTGGATGGGATGTTGTAGCCGCTGAAGAGATCAGGACCTCAGGGTCACGGGGCAGCAGTTCTGGGGCGATCGGGATGCTGACCGCCGTGAGCCCCTGGGGCGCCCTCCCCGCCTCCGTGCTGGCCGCGCTCGTCACGGGGCCCAGCGGCCCATGCGGGCCAGCTGCTGGGACTGCAGACAAAGAGGGCGGCTCTTTGCGGCCGGGCAGCCCGCCACGCTCCTGGAAGGGGCTCCTGTGTGGCGCGGAAGCGGCAGGAGGCCATCAATCACCAAGCATTTCATTATACCTTGGACAACATCCATAATGGAATAAAATGTCAGTAAGTTTACTAGGGGAGAAATAGTAACTTCCCCTCGCCAGTTTGTTTTTTATTGATAGTGATTTCCAAAGACATTCCAATATCTCCAAAGCCGTTGTTAGGAGCCGCACGGCGCGTCCGTGTTGACGCGCAAATGAACAGATGCGGAGTCACAGACAATAATGCGTCGCCTCCGTTTTCGCCGAAAGCAATAAATCCGCCTCAGAATGTGTCCCAGTGTGTCCCCCGGACGTCTTCTCTCCGCCGCACACCCTCGCTTCCGTCAGAGCTGGAAGAGCCAGTTGGTGATTTTCCAGCACAAAGGGCTCGCGGCTCTGCTGGGGTCCTGGGCCTTCTGCGCGCCCCGTGGTACGGCCAGCGGAGAGCCCAGCCCCGCGGCTCCAAATACTTCTTCCTCTCCCGCTCGTGGTTCAGGTCTCCCGCTGCTGTTTTCCAGTCCAGCGTCCAGCCGCCTGAGCACAGTGAGGGCACCAGGGGCACCCCGGTGGGCGTCCAGCACGGGTCCCACCCGCTGACTCAGGTCTCAGGGACAAAGGACTGGAGAGTCTGTGTCCTGATCGTTGTCGGGGTCAACGCAGCAGCCCCTCAGCAGCACCGCAGGCCAGGCCTCGCGCCAGACACCACCGCATGTTACCTCCCTCTCTCGACCCTCCCTGAGCCCGCGGGGCCGTCTGTCCCCACTTACAGGTGGGGAGGCCCAGGCCCGGCAGGGAGGGGGTGGCAAGGGCCCAGAGTCACGCCCCCTCCCGCCCGACTTGCATTCCACGCATGCCGTGGGCCCCTCGACACGTTTTTGGCTCGTTTCGCATGAAAATGACCCCTGAGCTTGTGTTTTGGAGCTTAATTGAAAGTTGTAATAGAATTTCTTCTTTGCTGTGCAACACACCGGGAATTTCTCAAAGGTTAGTTTTCCTCCACCAAGTACCTGGTCGAGGGTAACCCTTTATCCTGCTGCAGGGGGAGGGGTCTCAGGGGTCCTCACCTGTCTGTGACCCCAGGGGTGCTGGTGTCCTGAGCAAGAGCCAGTGCCCGTGGCTACGTGGCTAGCTGCCAGGCGTCCTGGGGCCAAGGGGACACGGAGGCTCACGGCCCTGCAGGCAGACAGTGAGGATGGTAAACTTTGCTCCCCGCCGCCCCCGGGTTCTGCCTCGGCAACCTTGGCTCAGTGGCGGAATCCCATCTCCGGGCACCTGCTCACCTCCCGCTGCTTATTCCGGGCCTGGGAGCTGTGTGCGGGGGGCCGGCAGGCCTGCCCCTCCTCGTGTCCAAGCTCCTGCTCACCTGCCCCATCCTTGCGGAGCCTCAGCCTGGTTCTGGGGGCCCCGACCTACTGTGGCACAGGGTGCTGACCGTGTGCGGGGCACAGCGGGACCCCGTGGACACAGGGCACGTGGGTATAAGAGCGTTTTAACACCAGCAGTTACTGAGAAGGGCTTGGGCATTGGCGAGCGTTTCAGATACAGAATGTCCGAATCTGGAGAAAGGAGAGGCCGTTGCAGGCTGGTGGTCCGTGGCAGGCTGGCGTGGTCGGGGATGCCCGATGAGGATGGGCAGGAAGCAGACCGTGGGCATGATCAGGGAACAGGCACAGGTCCATGCCAGGGGCAAGAGGAAGGGGCTTGGGCGGGATGGGGCAGGTGGTGGACCTTAAATCCACTGGACAGTTAGGGAAACTGAGGCACAGAACGTTGTTGTGATGTAGCCAAGGTCAGAGGCAGAGTTAGGTGTAATGTTCACAGACGGGACGATTGCTCCCGGCTTTGTCCCCGGGAATGAAGGTGGGAGACATGCTTCTCCAAACCCCCCAGCGGGCGGCCCTGGGCTCCTGCTCTGGGCCGGGATCCCGGCAGGAACACAGCGAGTGACGTCTGCCCTCAGGGCACCGGGATTGGGGGGTCAGGGTGCCATTCCTCCAGCTGTGGGGCCGCCCTGGGCTTGTTACCCCCCAGTGGCAGCGTGTGCTGCATGGATGCCCTTCCAGACGTCCTCGGGGCGGCGGGCAGTGTCTGTGCCAGGGGCGCCCCGTCCGCGTCTCGGCCCAGCCACCGGCGTAGGACTGGGAGAGCTCCTGCGCCACGTGGCAGTGTGTGCACGTGGCCCGGTGCGCTGGCTCTGTGCTTGTGCTCTCTGGCTTCCCTGCATGTGTCTGGGAGTCCCCTCTGTGTCAGTGACGGGGAGGGCGCTTACCTGTCATGCGGGGTCAACACGTGACCGCTTGGCGGGTCCCATCCCCCAGCGTCCCCGGCACTGTCGAGTCCCATGTGGATGGCTCCCTTACCGCCTGACTCGCTGCGTCCATGCCTCCAGCGACAGCGGCTCCCCTCCCCCCACCCGGGATCGCAGATTTTTCTTGAGATCCTGTTCCCGTTTGCAAGATGCTCCTTATTCTAGTGAAGGTCAGACTTTCCATAACCGATTTCCTCCCTCTGGACCATAGGTTACAGGACCTGCCCCGTCTGCACCTTCGTGGGGGTGGGGGAATGGGCGGGGATGGAGACGAGGGTCCCGGGAGGCGAGGTGGGGCTGGAGGAGGACGGGGCTGCTGTTCAGGCCACTGCCAGCTCCTGGCAGGTGTGTGTGGGGACAGCGGGCTGTCCGGCGTAGGCGTCTGGGAGCGCCGGGGGTAGGTGCGGCCTCACCGGGTGCCCTGGGCCCTCCGAGGGTCCCCCCCGAGGGTGGGTATGTGACAGGACCGTCCCGTCCCCCGCCTGAGCCTCCGCTGTGTTCCCATCCTCAGGCACGTACGTCGGCTGCTTCAGCGACGGCGGCCGGGACAGAACCCTGAAGGGCGCCGTGTTCTTCGACTTGAGAAAGATGACTGTCTCCCACTGCCAGGACGCGTGCGCTGAGCGGTGAGTGAGAGCCCCGGGCCGCAGAGTCTACCTCCGGATGAGGGGGCGTGTGGCTGCGGGGGGCGTCTTGCTCTGACCGGAGCTGGATGGATCAGCAACCCCCGGGGGCACAGAGGACGTGATGCGGGCTCACGACTGTGCCCGGGGAGCAGGCCGCCATGTTAGCGGGTGGTTTTCCTCTCCTGAGCCTCGGTTTACTTGTGTGTTCAGACTCTAGTAGAAGGCTTGGCTTCATTGCCATCTCTTCCGGGAAGACCTCCAGCTTGGTCATGATCCGTTACAGAGAAACTGAGTCTGGAACAGATAGGATGGGTCCCGGCTCAGCCTTGCAGCATAGACCGAGTAGAAAGTGACAGCAACTCAGTCCCCTCTACCTCCCCAGCAGTTCGGGGAACAGACTTGCAGGTAGACAGCGACTGTCGGGCCCCATGGCCAGCCGGTGGGCACAAACGGTGATGAGGGGCACAGGGGTTTTCAGTCCTCGGAGCCGGGGACGTGAATGCGCTGGCCTGTCTCCAGAGCTGGCGTCCGTGTGGCCCGCGCTGGGGCCCGTCTGCCGTCTTTCCTCCCCCATGCTGGGGCCCTGCCTGGTACGTGCAGGTGGGGAGCGGCCCTGGGCGGAGGCCTGGCGGCCGGTGTTCCAGACTCGTGCTGGCCCAGTGGGGACCAACGTGAGCCTGGTGCTGGAACCATCCACGGCGGGAGTGCTGCATCCCAGGAGCTGACCGGTGTCCCGAGTTTGGGCTCCCGTCCTCTGGTCCTGAGAGCCTGTTCACAGCCCGCCACGGCCTCGGGCCCTCTGTTCCCGCGGTGGGGCCTCGGGACAGAGCTCTCAGTCAGGCACGAGTGGGGCTGATCAAACTAGATTATCATGAAGGACGGCCTGCTCCCCGCCAGCCGGGGGGCCTCTAAGTCGGGCTGAAGACCAGCCCCTATGGGCAGCTGTGGGCCGGCCACCGCGGCCCTGGCCTCCCGACCTGACCCTGACCTCAGTCACCGCTGCCGTGGGGCCGGGGCAGCGACTCAGCGGGGCCACTCTCCCTGCAGGTCCTACGCGTACGCGGGCTTGGAGGCCGGGGCCGAGTGCTACTGCGGGAACCGGCTCCCGGTGACCAGTGTCGGGCCCGAGGCGTGTAACCACGAGTGCAAAGGGGAGAAAGGCTCCGTGTGCGGGGGCGTGGGCCGGCTGTCCATCTACCGTGTGGAGGAGCTGCCGCCCGGCTCCAGGAAGCGTGAGTGTGCCCGCCTCTCCCTGTGCTCCGTCTCCCACCTGCAGCCCTGCGTCCTCAACACGGGCAAGAGCTGGCGGCCTCCCTTCCCTGCCAGCCTCACTGGAGGGGCTTGCGTGGTGGGCGCAGGGGCGGCCGAGGGCTGTGTGGGTTCATGGCCTGCAGGACAGACACGCTCACCTGGGGGTCTCGCACGTTCTGTGTGGCCGCAGAGGCCCTGGGCTGTCCCCGGGCATGAGGGGGCCCCGTGCCCTGGACAGCAGCCTCCCCCCATGATGGCACAGACGGAGGCAGCCGGTGCCACTGGGACCACCAGCCCATGGCAAGTCACACCGCTCCTCACGGGTCCATCCCTTCTGGGCACTTGCTGGGCCCACTGGCGCCAGGACTGCAGAGCACTGGCCCACCTGACAGGCTCCCAGACTCCAGGCCTGGTCCTGTTCTATGGTCGTGCATGGAGACGCCACCCGGGGTGCTGGCTGGTGACGGGGTCTCCACACTATTGAGGCGGGAGGGCAGAGTGGGCACAACAGCGAGGCTGCCGCCTAAGCAGCCCTGATGAGTGTGGCCAGAGTGCAGGCTGTCAGAGCCGGAATGTTCCAGAAGGCCCAGCAGCCAGGACCCCACTCGGAGCTGTACTACTCCACCTGGGCTGGAAGACAGCTTGTGGGCTCAGGGAGCCTTCCTGAGGCTGGCGGGAGTTTGGGTCTGACCCTGCAGCACAGCAAGGGGCCGTGGCGGCATTTCACGTTTCTGGATCTACTTTTCTCCTCATGCCTGCACGGCAGGGATGTAGAATTTTCCGGAATATCAGCCTCTTGGGTGGCCTAATGCAGATCTGTGGAAGAAAGGAGGGATGGGGCGAGGACGGACACCATCCCCCAGGAGCTGGCGAGAGAAGGAAGGTGGGATGGAAGGGGGGATGGACACTGTCCCCCAGAGCTAGTGAGAGAAGGAAGGGGGACGGACACTATCCCCAGGGAGCTGGCAGGAGAAGGAAGGAGGGACGGGGGTGGGGGGGGACAGACGATCCTGCGGAGCTAGTGAGAGAAGGAAGGACGGACAGTGGGGGGGAATGGACACCATCCCCCAGGAAGTGGTAGGAGAAGGAAGGTGGGGACAGACACCATCTCCGGGGAGCTGGCAGGACAAGGAAGGATGGATGGAGCGGGGGGATGGACACCATCCCCCAGGAACTGGTAGGAGAAGGAAGGAGGGACAGAGGGGGACAGACACTATGCCCCAGGAGCTGGTGGGAGAAGGAAGTGGGTGATGGATACCATCCCCAGGGAGCTAGCGGAAGGAAGGATGGATGGCGGGGAGGGCAGACACCATCCTGCAGAGCTGGCAGGAGAAGCGGCCTGAGGTCAGCAGCTGCAATGACGTGGTCCCTTGTTGGTGACCGTGGTGGCGAAGTTCGGGTGCCCGGGGTCTCAGGAGCCTGGCCCGCTACACGCCGTCCAGAGCGGTCTGCTGTCTGGCTTGAAACCCGCCCCGCTGACTCTGTTTTCCACTTTCCAGACCCCGAAGCCACCGTTTCCCCCTGACAGGCACCAACAGCCAGGGGCACTGTGTCTCAGCAGACACCCGTTCTGTCCCCACAGGGAGGACTGTCACGTACCGTGGGTGCTTCCGACTGCCAGAGAACGGCACCCACACCTTCCCGGACTCCCTGGCACAGGCCAACGCGACGGTGGACGCGTGCTCGGGGTTTTGTTCCCAGAAGGTGAGGCCAGCTGTGACGTGTGCGTGTCTGTGGTGGGCTGCACGGAGCAGGGGCCCGGGCCAGGCGCAGGTTTGGGATGGCTGCGTGGTCTGTGCTTGCGTGGGCACCCCAGGCTGGCCGGGGTGCTGTCCGCTGGGCCGCGAGGCTGGAAGGATCGTGCCTTCCCCGATGGCAGGTGTCACACTGACTGGGCTTGTTAGTGGGACGTGCTGGCTCGGGCTTGGGGAGAGTGGACGGCTCATTGGTTGTGCCCATGGACAAGGCTGGGTGCTGAACCCGGCATCAGGGCCAGGGTCACACGTGTGTCTTTGGCTCAGCCGGGGCTTGGAGACGATTCTGCAGAGGGCGGGCGGGGCGCCGAGGCCTCCGTCCCATCCTCGTGCGGGAGCTCTAGGTGGGACATGGTGGTCAAGGCCAGGTGGGGCTGGTAAGCGACGGGACCCCCAGAGTGCTGAGGTCTGGGGTGCTGTCCAGTGGCCCACATGTGGGCCCCAGGGCATGGCAGTAGGCTGAGGTCAGGGCTGCTCCCCTGTGCTGGGGACTGTGACAAGAGGCCATGTAACGGGATGGGGCTAAGACGGGAGTGTCCTTGTGATGGTGGCGCATATGTCCTTGTTCCTCCGGCAGTGGCCACACCCCTCGCCACGTAGGAAGTCACTCTGCCCTCCTGACGGCCATGCCTGGTGGGTGCTGAGACATGCTGTGATTGTAGGTGAGGAAACAGAGGTGGAGAAGGTCATGCATGCTGCCCAAGGTCACCCATCCCCTATGTGGGGGAGCTGGGATTTGGACCCAAGCAGGCCCTCTGGTTCTGACCTAGCTGGTGGCTCAGAGCTGCAGGAAGTGGGCTTCTGGGGACGCGGGGAGCCTGCCCTCCCTGGTGTCTCTTGAGATGCGCCCATCAGAGCTGAGACAGAGCCTTTCCTGCACTTTCCAGCCCAAGCCGCAGCCTTTGGAGTGGGTCTCTGTGGCTCTAGCATTTCAGGGTGTCTGGGGTGTCCGTGGGGCGTCCGGCTAGGGCCCGTGTTCCCATGCTCCCCACGTGGGAGCAGAGCTGTGGGTGGAGGGCCATGTGCACCTGCTCAACATGGCCCTCCCAGGGCTTCCGCACACCTGCCGGAGGTCCGCAGCCCCGGGAGCACCTACTGCCATCGCCAGTCCAAGGAGCTCGACGGCACCCGACCTGGCCGCCTCCATCTGCAAACGTGGAGGTGCCCCACATGCCGGGTGACCCTCTTTACTCTCCTGGTGCTCCGAGGGGGACACGCTGCCCCCCCACATGCTGCCTGAGCCAGCGGGGGTTGTGGCTGTGGGAGCAGGGGCCCGTGCCATCGGGACGATGCCTTGGTTCCTGCTGAGCAGTGCTGGGGGAGGGGACGGGTAGCTCCTGTTCCTCATCCGGTCAGTCTCGGTCGGGCTCAGGGACCGCTCTGTCCTGGCACGGGCAGCACTTTCCCCATCTTGGGCTCCATCGCGCAGATGTCCTGTTGCTTACGCAGCCCTTCCCCCACTGGGGAGCACTTCCGTGGTTTTCTGTGTCCCGCTTCCACGAGCCCCCACGCGGAGCCAAGGCTGGGGTCGGGCTGGGCTTCTCGAGTGCCGGTCTGGGCCAAGCACCGTCGGGGGCGTTTGTGGCCCCAGAGGGGACGTCTCCACCGTGGTTTGTGGGTTGGTCGTGATGGTTCAGGAACACCATGATGTGGCCAGACAGAAGGACACGAGAGGCACCGTCAGTGCCATGACCGTCTGACCACCGGTGCGGGGCTCGGCCAATGTCATGTGTGTCTGAGCACAGAGAAGCCATTTGGTCTGATATTCTGCGGCCGTAGGGACAGACCTGCCCTGTGTCCATGCCTGGACCTGGGATGGCAGACGTGGGGCCGGCGAGGGGCTCCAGCACTGTGGGCAGACGGGCTGCTGGCCCCTGACGCTTCCACAGGGATCCCGCATGTGGCCAGAGGTCCCCTCTCCCTGCTCCTAGTCTGTCGGAGGGCGAAAACGAAGGGAGACAGTGTGAGCTCTTCCTGTAGACGGCTGATGGCTTGGGCCGGTCTTCTCGGGCTTTCCCGTGGCACTGACCCGGCTTGTTCCCTGCACCACGGCTGTTCTGCCGGACCCACCTGGATCCTGCCAGGTGCAGGCTGTCCCTGGGTGGGGGAGGGGTGCTGCCTCTGCAGCCGGCCAGCGGCAGGGCAGTGAGCGTCTGGGTTTTGTGAATTAAGCCCCTGGACGTGGGCTTAAGGAGGGAGGTTTTTCCCTTTGCTAAAATGCTCGCTGGTCCTGTCGGCCGGTGACAACCTGGCATAGCCTTGGGGTTCTCTCACGATTTTGGCCGTAAACCTGTCAACGTTGCACCATGTGTGTCTTCAGAGAAAGTTTATTCTTCTGGGGGTGGGTGTCTCTAAAGGTAACACATAACTATTTTAGAAAATTTGGAAAACGTGAAATTAAATGAGAACTCATCAGTGACGGTACCGCATCAGAGGACACCACCAACGGCATCTCACATCTTCAGGTCCTCTGTTTGACGGGCATGTTGGTGGGATTCGCATCTTTAAAACTGAATCGTTCAGGGTACGTGGGTGCTCCGCCAGTAGAGCGTCCGACTCTCAGCTCAGCTCAGCTCATGGTCTCGGGGTCGCGAGATCGAGTCTCGCCTCGGGCTCCGTGCTGGGCACGGCGGCTGCTTAAAGAAAAAAAAGGGATCTCTCCTTCCATTTTCCTTTGTTCCACGTGTCCCTCGTGGCATGAGCCCCCATCCCGCCCACTCTGGGCTCTTTCTTCGTGGCTATGAGCCACGCTGCCGTGAACATTCCCGAAGGTCAGCCTTTCAGCGGCCCGTAATGCTCTTCTTGCGTCATCACACGTGGAGTCACTGGTGTGAGGGACTCGTGTGTCTCCTGCATCACTCGTGAGACTTCAGGTGTGTTTCCAGAAGCGAGTCACGTGGCTTCATCCCGAAGATGGTGGAAGGTGGCTTCAGAGTCCGTGACCTGGGTTTGTGTCTCTTTGCAGACACATCCTTGCCTTGTGGTCCTGGCCAGTCTCGTGGCCCTGAGCTGTGGCATTCTCACTGATTCTCACGGATGCTGTTCAAAGCCGTGGGTTTCCGTGGCAGGGGGAGCGTGAGCTGGTCCCGGCTCCGGGGCTGCCTCCCCGACCACACAGCTCCTACTTTGCAGCCCGACGGCAGGGGCGTTGTGTCAGCAGAAGACACGCGCTTGGTGATGCGCTCTGCGGACGGGCTCTGGTTGACCATGATGCCCACCGTCCATGCCCATCCCAGCAGCCACCACCCCCGGGCACCTTCTTTCATTCTGGGTGTGCATGTCCAGAGCGGCCTCGGAGTGAAGGGAGGCAGGAGATCGGTGAAGGCAAGCTCCGTGCTGGTTTGCAGATTTCACCAAAAACCCCCATTTCTGTGAGTGTGTCCATGGAGTTGAGTGTGGTCTTGGGCAGCCCTGGGCTGCTTCTGCCCCCGATCAGTCTCACGGTCTGAAGTCTGGGCTGCTCGGCACCTGCTTCCTCACCTCAGTTTGCCCTCCTAAAGCCCGAAGTTCTGATCTCTGACGTTTTTGTGATTCTCTATAATCCTGGGGACTGACCGCAAGAAAGGCGCTCAAGGAGGACAGAGACAGACGGGTCTGCTGGGACGTCCACTCCCTGACCTGTGGCCATGAACGTGCCTTTGCAGGGGGACTCCCGGGACGGGAGGGCCCAGCCACTGCTACCGTCAGGACCCAGCACCAGACTGAATCACTGTGCCTGCGGCAGCCACCAGGCCCAGGCTCTGGATGCAGTTCCGGTTGGAGACCTGTCTCCCTACCCCGTCCCCTTGTATCCCTCCGATAGAAACGGTCTCACATCTGTGTCCCCCTCCCACCTCCCCTTCTCCAACCGTTGAGAAGATGGTGGGGGTGGGGGGAGCAGGGAAGCTGGCAGAGAAAGTTTCATCAATATTTAATTTTTATGGAAATCATGTCCTAGAAATCCCCGAGGGGTTGGAAATTGTCCTGTGTTTTCAGAATCCAGTTCTGTTCTGTTGTAAATAAAACCGCATTACTGTCCGCGCTCCCCCGTGCTCCGCACGCACCCGGAACCTGACGGTTTCATCCACTCAAGGAAGAGGAGGGGCTTGGGTTGCTGGTGGGGTGCGACCCCCACAGAGGTGGCCACTGGTAGAGGGACACTTCCTTTTGGGACCTGGTCCTGCTGGCGCTCGTGAGGGCACAGCAGACAGAGCCCAGACGCGTGGGGTGAACGGACGCTCCATGGTGTCTGCACGTCGACCACAGCTGCTGGTTCCTCCACGGGGATCCAGCGTGGGCACACGGATTTCTGAGGGGAGGGAAAGTCTGCTCCAAGGGACGACCGCGGAGCACGAGTTGGAGCTGCGGCTGACTGCAGGAGCAAACGGGACCCAGTGATTCCCACGGGCTGAACCAGAGGGAGGGCTCAGCAAAGGGATGGGGTCTCGTGGGGGTGCGAAGGGTGTGGTGGTGTGACCCAGGGTGGCTAGTGAAGGCCTCTCAGGGAAAGGGGCTTGAATAAGGGGGAGGTCTGGGGGCAGGACGTTCCAGGCAGAGAGAACAGCAGGTGCAAATGTCCTGAGCTCTGCATGTACCAGTGGTGCATGGCCAAGGACTGTAAGGACCCCAGCGTAGAAGGTCACCACAACTGCCCGAACAAAGTGCCACAGACAGGGGGCTCGCACTTCTCGGGGCTCTGGAAACCAGAAGCCCAAGGTGGGGTGTCATTGGGCTGGTTTCTTCTCAGGTCTCGTGGGCTCACAGACGGACATCCTGTACCTGTGTGTTCATATGGTCGTCTGTGTGTGTATCCGAATCTCTTTTTATGGCCACACCAGTCGGATTGGCTCGCACCTGCCATGGCCCCATTTTAACTGGATTCCTTCCTTAGAGACACTGTCTCCGAATACAGCCGCATCCTGAGGTGGGGGAAGGACGTGGGCTTGGGACAGCGGCCGAGTGGTGCAGAGAGATGGCTGGGGGCTCCGCCGGTGCTGCTTCATGGCCCGGTCCCGGCCCCAGCCCGACATGCCAATGCGGGCCTCGCTGCGGTGCCTGAGGGTGTGGCCAGTGGGGGGCTGGGCTGCTGTGGCCATGGGCAAGTCTGACAGGTGCAGTGGGGGTGGGGCTTCCGACCTTCCGGGCATGGGGACCTTGGAGAGGAGCCTACGGGCAGAGTGTCAAACCCTCAGGTCCCCCAAGCATGGGGGGAGGCAGTGGAATCCTGAGAGATGAGAAGGTGCTCGCAGACAGGGAAACTGAGGCTTGGACGTGTCAGGGTCAGTGTCGGGATCTGATGGGCTACACGCCTGCTGCTTCCTCCCTGGTCCCTATGCCCAGGAAGCCCGGACACCCTGAGCTACTGCCTCCCCCGTCCTCCGAAAATCCTTGCCTCAAGCCTTGTACAGAAAAAGCATGGGGACCGGGGCTCTGGTCCCAGGGGAGAAGACAAGCTGGGGAGGAGGCCAGAGGGAAGCCAGGTCCTCCCCCTCTTCCAAGCCAACAGCTGAAGGACTTGTCTGTTTTATAGAGACTAGCATTCTGGATGGGGCCCCCGGGCTGTTTAAGGGCTTTTCCTGCATGGGGGGGGCTTGGTGCTGTAGCAACGATGGGCATGGGTAGTGGGATGCATGGTGGGGTGCGCAGGGGTGCGTGGTGGGATGCGCGGGGGTGCGTGGTGGGGGCATGCGGGGGTGCGTGGTGGGGCATGCGGGGGTGCATGGTAGGGTGCGTGGTGGGGCACACGGGTGGTGGTGGGGGCACACAGGGGCACGTGGTGGGGGGGCACAGGGGCGTGTGGCGGGGTGCGCAGGGGTGCGTGGTGGGGGCGCGCAGGGGCGCCTGGTGGGGGTGTGCAGTGTCAGAACAGCGCAGGGTCTAGGCTTCTGTCCCCACGCGGCAGCTCAGCTCGCAGAGGGACAGGGCTAGGACCCTGGGAGCTCCCGGCAGGGGTGCAGCAGCCTGTGGGTGTCCAGGAGGAGGAGGGAGGCGGGGAGAGGCTCTGGTAGGGGTGCAGGGCACTGGGGGGCACACGCCTGAGCACAGGAGCCCCCCACAGGCTCTGCATCGCCCCCCCCACCATGGCTGGGACGGGCGACTTTCTGGACGCAGAGATCCTCACTTTGCCAAGCCACACTCGGAAAACGCTATTGATTTTTCTTTTCTTTATTTATTTACGAGATTTTCACTGTGAGCAAAAAATAAAAAGGTCTGTGTGGCGCTGCCTCGGCCTCCCGCCTCCCTCCCTGCCACCTCCCTCCCTGCATTTCCATTTGTAAGAGGCAGGGGCAGGCAGGATGACGGGGCTGGGTATCCTGGAGCACCCGCGTGCCGTGCCCCGTGCTGGGCCGCCCTCATCAGGGACGTGCGAGTCCCCTGATTGCCCATGTTCGGTGGTGAAGCACAGAGAGGCTTGGCAGGTACCTTGCCCGAGGTCGTCCAGCACCCAGCGGTCTCCTCTGTGGGGGCAGAGGGAGCAGGGAACGAACCCCACACAGGAGGCCAGGGGCCGGCCTCACCGCGAGGCGCTGCCCCACCCCTAATCCTGGCAGAGCTGCAGGGACTTCGGGAATGTCCTAGCCTGCACCCCTTGCCCCTGCAGTTGGGTTGGGCTGGTCTCCTCCCCAGGGAGCCCCATCGGAACGCCAGAGCTCCCTTCAGGACGCAGTATGTGCACTCACCTGCCCCATCCTGACCCTCGCACTCACTGGCTCCCACAGACACCCCGCCCCGGGTGCCCGGTCCTCGCTGCACTTCCCGCCGGGCCCCCAAGGTTAGCCCGGGCCTTCCTCACTCTGACTGTTGTCGGGTCCCCGGCCCACTCTGAGCTGCTGGGGGCAGAAGTCACGTCCCGTGCATCCTGCCTCCCTTGGGCTGGCGCGGGAAGGATGGGCACCATCTGTGCTGATGCGAGCCGGGAGGCCTGGCCCCAGCGGGCACCCCACATGCTTCTCCCCCCTTGCTCCCTGGCAGGAGTTCCCCCTGGCCATCCTGCGGGGCTGGGAGTGCTACTGTGCTTACCCCACACCTCAGTTCAGCCTCCGGGACGCCGTGGACAGTGCACTGTGTGGCCAGGAGCCCAAGGCACAGAGGCTGGCCGAGTACTGTGCGGTTTACCAGACGCCCGTGCAGGGTGAGTTCGGTGCTTGGGGCACAAGGCGTGCGGGGCCCTCCCCCATGTCTGTCGCATGTGCTCTCTGGGCATTGGGAGAGACCAGTGCGGCTGCGTGCGTCCTGGGGTGGGGAGGGGAGGCCACCACCGTCCCTGGAGGCTGGGCACGGGATGTACCTGGCCTTTCCCTGAGTGTCGGGACGGAGGTGCTTTGAGGAACAGCAGGAGAGCCGCGAGGTGGGGCCCCACCACCGTCCAGCAGAACCTGGAATGTTCTGCACTGTGTGGGGAGCCAGGGCTCGCTGCCCGGGCTGTGGGAGGCCTCGTCATCCCCGGAATTCTCTTTGGGCACAGGCTTGGGCGGCCACCCCCTACCCCCCCGGGCCTGCCTCAGTTTCCCCATCAGTGAAACAGGAGTCTGCGGGCGGTGGGTCCGGGTGGGGCAGTCGGTGGTCAGCTTCTGGCCTTTCAGACACTCGCTGCACAGACCGGCGGTTCCTGCCCACCAAGGCCAAGGTGTTTGTGGCTCTGTCAAGCTTCCCGGGAGCTGGGAACACGTGGGCGCGGCACCTCATCGAGCACGCCACCGGCTTCTACACAGGGAGCTACTACTTCGACGGGACCCTGTACAACAAGGGTGAGTGAGGGCCGAGGGGCCTGGAGTCCCAGGGCCGGCCCCGGGGGCCGGGGAACCAGCATTGCAAACACGCTCCCAGCCGTGCAGCCGGCCCGGGACTTGGGACATCCATCCCCACAGCTTGCGTGCCCATGCTACGACCACTTTCCGAATTTCTCGTCATTGTCAGAACCCGCGGTAATTCGGTGAGACGTCATCGGCTCATTTGTCGGATGTTCTGTGAGGCCAGAAGGAGCTCCTCAAAACGCTGTGTTTTCAAGATGGTGCAAAGCCCCCCGAGTTGTGTGGCCCCTAGTCTCTCCCTGCAGAAGCAAGGGGCCTTCCTGTCCTGAGTAGGAACGAGAACCCGGCCAAGCGAGGGGCTATTGGTCTGCGGTCAGGTGTCACCCCTGTTGCGTCCAGGTTCCTGACTGGACTGTGGTTTAGGAAGGGAAGCCCAGGCCCACAGCGTCCTCAGCTTGGCAGAGGGCTCTGGTTGGGTGGGAGAAGCCAGGAAAGCTGGTCATTCATCCTTAATTCCTGAGTGCTACCCGCCCCCCCAGTGGGGCGGCCGGATGATCTGTCCCGGGGTCCTGCCTGCTGTGGCTGGCGCCCATGGAGTCCTGCAGCACGGGCTGCTGGTCACCTGCTCGTCTAGAGGGTCTGCACAGCTGGCGGTCTTGTTCTGCAAGTGGCCCAGGGGCTCAGTTGCTGGCGTGGCCATGTGTGATGGCCCCAGAGGTTCCCCCTGTGAGGCTTATGGGACTGGTGCGGGGTGGCCGCTGGCCTCTGCACCAACCCCCCAGTGACACGCATGGGCACCCCGTCTGTCCTGGGCTACTGTGGCCCATGGGACACACAGAGCAGCCGCTATGGGGACAGCCCGATGGACTTGGGGTGCTGGGGACCCAATCCCAATCCTGATCCCATGTTTACAGCCTGTGGTCTGGCTCCTCTTTTCCTCGTCCCAGTGCTGGGCAGTAGGAGCCCCGGCAAAGGCTGGCGGTTGTTAGGCCTGGGGCAGAGATCCGCTTGAACTGTGTTGGGTTCCAGGAGGCAAACCCGCCTCAGAGGAGCCTTGTTCCCAGCATCAAAGAACCCGGCCCCACCTGCTGCGCCTTTGCGTGCCACCCCCTGCCTCTGCTTGTTGCTGTGGTTGTCCCCAAGAGCCCAGGAGACACGCATGCTCGTTTATGGAGCACGGGTCCCTGGCTGGCGGACCCCAGACATGGCGGGACATGGCCGGAGTCTAGGTTCTGGGGCACCCCTCCTGGGGTCCTTCTGTGACATCTGGCTGTACCCCCTGACCGGCCCCAGACTCCTAGTTCCTGGGAGGCTCTGTGCTCCGTGGGACCGCATGTGGAGCCCCTCCATCGCCAGCACAAAGGCCTCCACTGAACGAGCCCACAGTGTCTTACTGACCCACACGTGACTCTGTTACGGGTGGGAAGGGCTGGGACCCCGCCACAGGACCCCGGGGTCCACCGCCGGGCGGGGGCTGGAAGCCCGGCCTCACGGGGACACCTGCACCAGGTGCCCAGAGCCCCGTGCTGCCGTGCGATCCTGGCAGGTATCCTGCCCACTCTGAGCCACGCCTGCGGCCACGACTCACTCATGGGATGTCAGCGACGCTCGCGGGAAATCGCCGTGCAGACGCCCACACGCACGCGCCTGCAGGTTGTAGAGGGGCGTCAGGCCCCGTCCCTAGACTTGTGGGGTCTCCTGGAGGTGCACTCAGCGTTGCTGGCTGCCACGGCGGGGTCCACCACCGTGCTCAGGCCCCCGTCTCCCTGCAGGGTTCAAAGGCGAGAAGGACCACTGGCGCAGCCGGCGCACCATCTGCGTGAAGACCCACGAGAGTGGCCGCAGGGAGATCGAGATGTTCGACTCGGCCATCCTGCTGATCCGGAACCCATACCGGTCCCTGGTGGCCGAGTTCAACCGCAAGTGTGCTGGGCACCTGGGCTACGCGGCCGACCAAAACTGGAAGAGCAAAGGTGGGCAGAAGGGAGGCGGGGGAGGGCAGCTCTTCTGTGCAGACACCCGGCCCGGCCCTGCCCGGACTCGGCCGCTGCCCCCCGCGGTGTGGCCGGGACACGGGTCCAGGTGGCGAGCGTTGGGACGCTGAGCGGTCAGAGGGCAGCAGGTGTGGGGCTGTCAGGCAGGCAGGCCCGTCCCCGCAGACCCTGCCCGGCAGACATCCCCGTCGCCTCCAGCCCACCCTGCCCCTTGCTGGCGCCCCAGGAGCAGGAGGCTGAGCTCTGGTCCCTCCTCGGCTCCCAGGGGCCTCAGTTTACCCACCGGAGACACCAGGGCGGTCCCTGTCTGAGGGTGGTCGTGAAGACCAGGGAAAGCGAAGGGTCCCCACGCCATCCGAGGTGGCGGGATGGTCACAAGCTGTGTTTGTTGATATTGGCACCGTCCCCACCAAGACAAAAGCCCCAGCACATGTCTCAGTTTGCCGGGACAGAGCTCTCACGGATTGATCCTCCCCGAACGTTGCCGGCTGCCTGGAGACGTCACGGGGTGGACTGGCCACCCCCATGGGACGTGGTGGGCATCAGGCAGGGACCTCGCTCACTTAGCTTCACAGGAGGACCTGGGCGGGCGCTCGGGCCTACGCCCGTCCTCGTGGTGCCCCTGCTCGTCCCTGTCACCTGGGGCAAGGTGAGCGTGGATGAGGGTCACCCATCCCCCCCATGATGAACACCGCTGTGCCGCGTGGGCCCCGTGGCTCTCCCTGCCCTGGCATGAGCCCCGAGGTCAGGGCGCTCACTGTCCACGAGAGAGGGAACCAGCTCCCTACACACACGCCGCATCTCTCCTCATGTGGGGCTGCACGGCCACCGACGCAGACGTGGCCCGATGTACCAGGCTGGCCCCGAGGTGCCGCTCTTACTGCCCGTGGGCCGTCAGGAGGGCCTGGTCCGAGGGGCCGCCTGCCCTGGTCGGCCTCCTCCCCGGCTCCCCGCCCGCAGCGCCTGGGAGGCGGGGCCGACCTGCACGTCTCTCCCGCAGAGTGGCCGGACTTCGTGCGCAGCTACGCAGCCTGGTGGTCCTCGCACGTGCTGGACTGGCTGCGGTTCGGCAAGCGGCTGCTGGTGGTGCACTACGAGGAGCTGCGGCACAGCCTGCTGCCCACGCTGCGGGAGATGGTGGCCTTCCTCAACGTGTCCGTGAGCGAGGAGCGGCTGCTGTGCGTGGAGAACAACAAGGAGGGCAGCTTCCGACGGCGTGGCCGGCGCCCGCACGACCCCGAGCCCTTCACCCCCGAGATGCGGGTGCTGATCGACGGCTACATCCGGACGGTGGACAAGGCGCTGCGCGACCACGGCGGGGCCGGGCTGCCCGGCGAGTACGTGCCCAGATGACCGCCCAGCTGCTCCGCCCACACCACCCAGATGCTGCTCCTTGGGCCCGGCTGCCGGAGCCGCCAAGGGGCCCCCGCGCTCACAGACCCGCCGCACGCGCCACTGCACGCTTGCGGGGACCCCCTCGGACTTGGCACGCCGGACCGCGTGCATGCTGGGCTCCCGGTGCGGCTCTCCTGCTTCCCGCTGCGGGCTTGCTGGCCGGGGTACTTGCCCACTGGTGCGGGGCTGGGCGGGCATCAGCACTGTGAGCAGCGAGTACCGTGGCATGGGCGTGAGCTCACGGAGGCTGCTGGACCCTGTGACCCTAAACGGCACATCTGACACCCTGTGAACATCTGTGGTATGGCCACCAGGCCCCCGCGACCACAGCCCTGCATCTCCCTTCTCCATAGACCGGCTGGCAGCTCAGAGTGGAGCCTCCCCCCCATCCCCACGCTGCACACTGATCTCAGGACCTGCCACAGCTCTGTGCACCCCCACTACCCCGTCCAACATCAGCAAGCCGTGGAGGAACCCCCTTGCCTGACTTTTTCCTCCCATGTCCTAGAGGCAGGGTGTGGGGCGAGCGGGCATGGGGCAGGGAAGGGCTGGCCTCTAGAGGGAGCTTGGGGTGCACATGGGGAGACCCAGGAAGGATGGGTCTTGGTGTCACTTGGACCGGTGACCCCACCCACTTGGCCATGTCCCCCATCCACACAACCGTTGGGGGAGGGGCCACGGCCAAACCCTCTGAGTTCACACACACCCCCATCCCCTGCTGCTGGGTCCCTTGGCCACATCGCCACACCCTCTGTCTCTGTGGGAGCCTGCCGTCTTTCCCACTCGTTCACCCCGGAGGGAGGGTCCTCACGAGCGCAGTGGGCTGCTGTGTGCTAGCTGGCCGGTGGCTGGGGGGAGCGGTAGGAAAGCCGCCCACCCCAGCTCACAGCCTCAGGGGGCAGAGGAGGGGTGGTCACAGAGGGGAAGAAACCCAGTAGCAGAGGACTGTGCTTGCCATGCAGGCTCAGGGTCACCGTACGGGCTGGTCTGGAGGGATCTATAGGAATTACCCCAGCAGAGCCGAGGGAAGGACCTCTAGGCAAAGAGAACAGTGTGTGCAAAGCTCAGGGGCTTGGAGAACAGGGGGATGGGCTGTGGGGCGCGTGTGTCTGAGTTTCTGCAGCCGGGGTGGAGTGGGTGGGTGAGGACAGAGGTGGGGACACAGAGAGGGACCATCCTCAGCCACCTGGTGCTCAGCCTGGAGGGACAGAGCTCCCTTCAGGGGTACCTCGGGTTCAGAATGAGGCTGCGCTACCAGGTCTCCAGTGGGGGGGGGGTTGGATCCCTGCCAGGTGGACGATGGTGGATGGGCCCCTCGACAGCTTCTCCAGGTTTGGGGTGACGGTGGCAGGGCCCCTTGGTCTGCCCTCCTGCAGCCTGAGCCAAGCTGCCCCAGGGGAAGAAAACTGGGTGAGAGATTTGGGGAAACCAGGGTTGGAACGTCCCGACCCTGCACTCCCCCCAGCCCCGGGAAGCCGAGAGCCACCATGTGAGAGCCGGTGGGGTGGAGGGCCTGTCGGGCTGCCCTTCCTCGGAGGGAGGCCTCCACACCCGTCCCCGCCGAACCCATCGCGGTGCTGAGCCTGTCCTGGGCCGTCCCACAGCCGCTCTCGGCTTAACGCTGGCAACACTTATCAGCACGGCCCCGGCTCCGCGGTTCCCTCTGGGAAGGCCCCTGACGAAACTGTTTGTCTGGAGTCGTAGAAAGAGGTGAGGCCTGCCAGGGGGCCCCACCTGCCATGGAAGGTGGCCCAACGGTCCCTGCACACACACCCCCAAGCAAGCCTAGAGTCTCGACAGGATGGAGAGCTGGATGCAGGCTGCCTCCTGAGCCAGGCTCCCAGCTCTGGCCCTCACTCTTCCCGGACTTCGGGGAGAAGACCCAGACGCCGGGGAGGCTGGGAAGGGCAGAGGTGTGGCTGAAGGGCCAGGCCCACTGACCCTTGGGCCTCCCACCCTCCTGCCCAACCCAGAATCAAGACAGCATCAGCCAGACTCCCGGTAGCTGGTCCATTTCCTGCTGCAGGTGTGCAGAGAACCTCCTTTCCTTCCCGGGGAAGAGCTGGTCGCTCTGATGGCCTTGTGGTTTACAGGGCACCTCAGCCAGACCTGCAGCTGAGTAGAAAGATGGGGTCAGTGTACACGCAGGTCACGCTGAGTCGGTCCACATGGTCAGGTGCCCTACAGGGGGCTGGTGCTCCTGGGTGTCTGATGAGCAAAGACATGCAAAGGCCCTGTGGCTGGTTCTTCCTGTGGGAGAGCCTGGAGGCACGGGAAGGGCTCTGGCTGTCCGTTTGTGCAAGTGAGGCCTCCTGGAACTCTCAGCTTCTCCATCAAGCAGCCCGGGCGCAAAAGCCAGTGTGAATCTGGGGGAGAGTTGTGAGAAAACCCCACTTCTGCAGATTCCAGTTTTAACGGCGAGGCCACGAAATCACACAGACCTGGGTTAAGACGTGTAATTTCCATGGTTTTCATCTCCCGTTGTGGATCAATTTGGAAACACCAAAATATATAATTTTAAAAAAACGAAAACACATTTCTGATAATCCCAGTGATGTGTGAATGAAACAGAAGAATAGACAGGCTTCCAGACCCCAGGAAGAAAGCTGCTTAATTATGTGAGCATCTTGTAACGAAGTCTCTTGCAGCTAAAATTAGATCCCGAGTGCATGAATGTGTGATAATGTTTGCACACCAGAATTCATTTTCCCCTTAAAACATGGCAGGAGTTCCTTGGTTCCTGGGGGGCCCTCAGGGGGGAGATGGGAGTGCTGGGGAGGTCTTCATGGCTGCAGGAATGCTTGGGGCAGAGGTGTGTCTCCTGCGGTCGGAAGCTCGCCGGGGCTGTGCAGGGTGGTTCGTGGGGGTCTAGCGGGAAACTGACGGGTCTGGGCCCCGCCTGCTCACTGTTCCCACCAGGACGAGTTGGCCTGAATGAGGTTGAAACGGAGTGGAAGCCGGCGCACGCGCTGGGCGGGGCCGTGCCCCCTGTTCCCGCCCCCGTTTCCCTCCCCAGCAGCCCTGGTCTCTGAGGTGGGGCTACTTAAGGTCATTGTCATCTCCGGGGCGAAGATGGCTCTGGGCGAAGCCAGCGGCTCCTTCCATCTTTCTGGCTACAGTGGGTTCAGGGGCGGTAGCATGAGCTAGGGCAGCGTGGCCGGAGGGCATCTCAGGTCATTGGGAAGCACGTGCGCTGCTGGTGGGAGGGGAGGCAGCAGCCCTGGGCCTGCGGAGGGACCCACCCTCAGGTGTCACCGGTTCTACCACGGGGACAGTCGGGGGGCACAGGAGCCAGGAACTTGGCGTCGTTACCTATACTCAAGACTGGCTGCGATCGCCCTGCCTCTGGGCGGGTTTGTTACACGAGCCAATAAACCCCCTTCTTGTTCACCTCAGCTGCAGTTGGGCTTCTCTTCCTCGTCGGCCTCGGGCTTAGCCCCGCGTTCTGTCTCCGTGGCGGCTGCAGGCGGGGGCCGGGCTTCGGCCCAGTTTGAGCTGGGGGGCTGCGGACGGAGCCTTTTTCCTACAACAGAGACCTCGGCCTGCGGGCGCCTCTGTCAGGGGAGAGATCTAGCTTCTGGGCTGAGCGGGTCCAAGCGCCCGCCCTCTGCTTCACGGATGAGGGACCCAGACCCCCCAGAGGTCACGCTGGAGGGACAAGTGCTCAGAGCACGGGCGGGAGCGCGGCTCCTTCCATGAAACCACCCGGCCGCCCTTCTGCTTCGACGGTATAGCTCTCGGACGTCGCTGCTGATGGGGCAGATGTGCCCAGCCGGCTTGTCTGGAAGTGACCCCGTTAATCTCACGGCCAGTTCTCTGCCGGAACACACTTTGGTGGGTGCCCGAGGTTGGCGCCGAGGGCCAGGACTTGAAGACCTGCCTGAGAGGAGCGGGGAGAGGGACTGCACCGCGCCGGGGTGTCTGTGCTCTCTCCCAGGTGTCCCAGGTGGGGGAGGGTCCTGCGCCCCCAGGGGGCTGATGGATAAGCTTGGGACGCTCACCCACAGGACAAGCGGGTGCTCCCTCCCATCGCACGCCAGCCCTCCTGACCATGAGACAGCGGTCACCTGGACGTTGGCATCAGGTCACTCACTGATCTCGTCCCCACTGTCTGAGCCCTGCACCCAGCCGACCCAGTGACCCACGCCCGCCTGGCAGGCAGGACCCCTGTCCCCTGCCGACATGGTGACCCATGCCCACCTGGCAGGGTCCCCTGCACCTGGCCGACAGTGCAACTGGCCACGGTTGAGATCACACCCCACTACTATCAGCTGGGCTGCTTGCCTTTGCCATGTGACAGATTACCATGAACCCAGCAGCTCGAGCCGACCCCCAGGCACCCTCCCCCGGCTCCCGTGGGTCGGACGTCTGGGTGGACCTCCCTGGGCCGCCCGCCGTCAAGGTGGTGTTAGTGGTCTGTGTTCCCACCGTAGGTCTGACGGGCATGTCCACACCCAGGCTCCCCCACAATGTTGGCGGAACTGAGTTTCTCTGGTTGTAGGACAGAGGCCCTCGGTCCCTGGGACCCACACGCGGTCCTGACACGTGGGCCTCTCCCAGGAAGGTCGCCACAGAGCGGCTGCTGGTGGGAGGGTCCCACGTCTCCTACCTAATCCCAGGAAGACCGTCCAGTCACCGTTGCCGCATCCCACGGGACAGACCCCCACTTGGGGGTGGGGGTCCCGCGAAAGCACGAGCCCCAGGAGGTGGGGATCCCTGCGGACCAAGTCGGAGTCTGACGGCCACAACACCAATGTGGGAAAAGACTGGAAATCCGTACTTTCTGCTCCCCTCCCCCGCCGGTCTGCAATGACTATGGAGGGTGTTTGAGGATATCATGGCGGGGCTGGTTACACCCGCGTCCCCACGAGTCAGGGCTGCGTCCCCAGTCCACACTGGCCACTCTGCACTCCTTTTTAATTAAGCTTGCACAGCACACGGTGGGCCTTTCAGTATCTGGACTTCTTTAGTTTTAAGACGCCATTGACGATTTTTGGGTTGAATGCTGCCCCTCCCCCCCAACGTCCTTCTCGAGTTCCTCACTGGCTGGTGCCTGGACTCCAGAGCCCGGCTGCATCCGGGAGACGCAGCGAGCGGTTTCCCACACGTGCTCTCTTGATCCCACCATGTGGGTGCTGCACTTTGTCCTCAAAAACGATCATTTGCTCTCCCCCGCGTACAGTTCCCGTTAACCCATCTGCCCATTTCCATAATTACATTTTTTTTTAATTCCTGGAACTTCTAATTAATTTTTATCACAGTCTGCCCCGGTTTCATGGATGGTGCCCTTTCACGTCTGCTGATGGGCATTAAATGCATTCAGTGCTGTTAACCCTATTTCCTTGGGTGTGAGTTTCTCTCATTGTCGGGTTTGTGGTCTCTTTGGCGGTTCTGGCCTCATCGGAGTGTCGGTGGCTCTGCGTTCGTTCCAGGAGAGGAGGATGGTGCCCAGTCAACCTTCCTGGCGGGCCCGGGTTTGGGACCTCAGCCAACGACCCTGTGAATCACGCCTGGGCCACCTTCTGCTCCCCTATTCCACCGACTCCCGATGGGACACGCCTGCCTTTCTGCGGCAAGAGCCCGGCTGTGTGCTGAGTGCTCACCACCTCTGACCTTCACATCAGTTTGCCGCTTCTCAGTGTTTGTCGTTGCCGTCCCTTCCCCGCCTTCCTGACCACGTCACCGTCTGGGTTCGATTCAGGGAAGGAGAAGTTGAGTGAGTGCTTCCCTAATCAGCCGTGAGAACCAGACGCCTGAGCACGAAGACTGGATCGGATGACCTACGAGCCTCGCCAGGAGATGCTGTGTGACCTTGGGTAGCATCTTCTCCTCTCTGAAGCTCAAGTTCTTTATTAGAAAAAAAAAAAAAACAAATCCAAGAAATTCGAAAGAAGAGCGAAGACCTCACCCGTCTTGGCCTCCTGACAGTTCTGCGGATGCCATCCACACAATCTGGGGGAAAAGCACCACCTTTGTACCTGCTCCAAACCCTGACCTGACCAGGGTCATCGTGACAGCCAGACCTTCACTTGAGAGCCCAGTCTCTGTCAGGTCTTCCCCAGCACAGACAGCGCCATGGA